ATGATCTTGCTGGAAATCGCGGCGGCAGTGCACTTCACTTCTTCGCTAAGAGGGCCGATCAGTTTGCTGTCGAACTTTCGTTTCACCCTTGCCTTTCGGTTCGATAAACTGCGGGCCGTCATCGATTGAGATTCGCTAAAACCACGGGACGTTTACAACTTTATGAAGAAAAGAATGATCTTAAGGTCAATTGACCGTAGGAGTACCTTTGTTCATCGTCCTGAGTCGACTTTTTCGGTTTCTTCCTTCCTTCCTCGAAACATTTTTCCTCATTCTCTATGGTTTTTTTGAGGTTTCTAAAAATTCAATGACTCACTCAGATTCCCCGACGCGTAAAGCATGAATATGATGGTAGAAAAAAATCACCTTCAATACGTGATATGATAACAATATGCAAAACCATATCCTAAGAATATACTTTGATGTAGGTTTATGATAATGTTGTTTACATACGTAGTTATTAAGTATTATAATAACAGTACTTAAAAACAGACTCCGTTATTATGAGTCTAATAGCAAACTACTAGTTTTGCATAGCACCTTATAAGAAAAAGAACCTCCTTTTAATTCTCCCGATTTACAGGATGTCCATTTGCTTCTAATAGCTTAAGGGAGCATTTAAGCAGGCTACGGTTCTATAGTATTTCAGCACCTGCAATACTTGGGCATGGATGAATGAATAATACGCGCATAAATGAGTTAGTGACAGAGCAAATGAATTAAGGAATATATGAATCAACAAATGACTGAAAAAGCTGATGAATGAAGCCAGGATCGTTGGATGAAAGGTATAAGCAAAAGGAATGAATAGAAGGGATAAAGCAAAGGTGACGGGAGGAAACTTACGAATGAATAAATGGAAGAATGAATTAATGGAGTTAACGAATGGAAAAATAAATAATGGATTAATGAATGAGCGAGTTACGGTATTAATCAATCAATAAATGAATCACAGTATGTTTGTTGTGACCAGCACTTGCACAAGCATATAATTCTAGAACCTATTACTAAATATGCTCAATCTATGTTTTCAATGCTTTTGCCATTGGCACCTGCTACAGGGCCATGAAAACAATAATTTCTCTCCTCATCCAGACCTGACGAAATATTTCGTGATGGAGTCCACGTCAGCGTCTGCCGTCCTTTGGCTCGTATATCAGAAGCATAAGGGCTGAACCAGTTTGCGTTACAGGTTCGGCCTCCTTCACTACCGAAGATACCTGTATTCATAAGAAAATACAGTCATTCCAACGTGATCCTGACATCTAACGCTTATTACAGCGTCGAAGCCAACACTGTTGTGTGCTGTTCTACCTCACTGTTGGTCCTTCATCAGAATGGTAGCTTCCATGGCGTACGACAACACAGATCTGTTTAAGGAGCAGATCAGCTGTGCCAAGGGAATAGTTTCTCACAACTTTCAACTTCTGGGCGTTAAGGAAAAGGTCGATCTTTGCAGCACTGTGATTAAGTCGGCTGCCCTCTTATTCCCTCTGAAACGACACCTTAGTCTTTGCCAGGGTCAGCATTGTTTCAGAGAAGTAAGTCGAGAACGACGCTGAGTAGCAAATGAGAACGCAAGTCTCTTCGTCGAACTCCACAAATAATAGGGAGCCACTCTCAGACACCTCAACTTCAACTCTGATAACAGAAGTGTTTTCTAAATAAAAAAGATGTGCTCATATGACTGACAGCTATTCAAGAATTTCAATATCATCAAAGATGTAAGATACCAAACGCAGCCTTTAAGTCGAGCTCAAGGAAACCGGCAAACGATTACGACTGGAATCGTCGGTATTACTCAGTAATTTTACGATGAGCAAAAAATTGATAGGACCAAGAACACATCTTTCGGATATCTAAGTGAATCAAAAGACGTCTCGTGTCAAGTGCCTGTCTCATTCGTGCCAGGAAGCTGAAGCCGAAACGGAAAGCAGCGTGACCGTGGTCTAAACACTCGGTCACTCATACTCCTCTAAATAAGACGATAACTACGTCACATTTCCCTCGTTTGAGGGTTAAAAGTTTAGCAAGGGGAGACGCTTTTCTGCCATTCCCATCCTTCGATATTTGACTAACTTGCGGGATTTTGATCCCAGACTTTCTTAAGCATCTAGTGCATGACGCTTTGAACTACTTTCTTACTATAAGACAACAGACCCTTCGGCAAAAGTTGCATGACAGTCCACTTTTACTTTACAACGAACTGGTAAACAGCGTGGTATAGACGAAACTGGGGATTTATAGTTTTGTAGCCTCTATTAGTATTAGCACATGAGTGATCGTAGAATGGGACAAATTTGGAAGACAGCTATTAATGAGGTGATGGAAATTCCCGACAAAAGGAAAATGAATTAACAAATGAAGGAGGGACTAAACGAATGAACTAAGGAAATTTATACTTTTTCAAGGACATGATGGCTTGAAGATCATTTATTTATTTTGCCATTTCGGCATCCGGCGAAGGTCGTAATTAAGACTGTTCACAAGAAGTACAGCGTTAAATTTAAATTTCGCTGGCATGCAGTGAACGGATCATTAATTAAGTGCTAATTAGCTGTAATTATGAATTAACAGAGAGAAAACAAAATTAACAGCGGCTGACATGAATATTTTCAAACGGCTCAGGTGTTAAGCAACTGACCTAAGCTGGTCGACCAGAAGCTGTTTCCTTTCGAACAGTGCCATTTGTCGAGTGGTGATGTGTTCGGCGATGATCTTCAGTTGCATCAACGATGTTGTGTTCAGGTCCTGTTCGGAAATGTCCAGCGTTTCCAGCTTTGTCCAGTCGAACTGGCTCTCGGGCAGCTGGGCACTGCACGATTCAGCGACCGTCGACCGTCGAGCAACGTGATTTTCTTGTGGTGTTGATTCCAATGTCGTTGCCACAACTGCCGCCATGGTAGTGGTGGTGGAGGAGATGGAGATGGTGGTGGTAGTGGTAGTGACAGCGGCTGTGGTGATGACGTTGGTCATCGTCGTTGCCGTCGCCATCGCCATCGCCATGGCCGTCGTTTCAGTAGTCCTGGCCATGATCGACGGACCAGGAGAAGGGAGGACACGTGGCGCAGCCGGGAACGGCAAGGGTGAGGCCGGAGAAGGGGAGTTTCCGCCTCCGCCGAGATCCTCGTGCTCCTCATTACCGGCTGGTCTGAAACACGAAGGCCGAACGAAGTTAGTAGAACCGTCATACATGTGCGGGGAGGCCGCACGGAATCGAGGGCTGTGCGGCGGTGGAAAGCGTCTAAAACCGCGGTAGTGGCGTTCATGGTGGTGGAACGCGTGCGACGGTGGTCTGCGCGAATGCCGGTCATCGCCGAATACCCGGATGGGTGGCCTCGACGACTCCTTCGTTTCTCTCCACCGTCCCCTTACAAATCTATCATCGTTCCTTCTCTTCTTCAATGCCGCCGTCGCCACTGCCACCGCTTCCTCTCCGTACTCTTCCTCCTTCTGCCGTCGCTCGTACGTTCCGCTCTTCGTCTCCGAAACCGGGGTCTTGACGCTCACACGGTGAGAGGTGAAATCCAGCGCTTTCAGCCTCTCCAAAGCTTTTAGTGCCTTATCTTTTGATGCTACCTTATCATCACTGCTCGAGATGGTTGCCATCGTCGTCGCCATCGCGTTCCTCCGTGCTGTCTCGGATTCTTCGACATCGGTCTGCGGTGAGACGCCGGACACAGACGCGGTCGCAGATGGACCGACATGGTCGACGGCCTGACCATCGTCCACTTTATGCAGATCCTCACCATCGCAAACGCAGACGGTGATCTTGTCATCGTCCGTCGGTTTGCGCCGGATCACGATTTTCCGCGCTGCTTTGTTC